TTGAACGAATTCAAGCAGTCATTGAAAGGATCGAATTACGGAAGGCTCGAATAGAACGATCAAATATCACTTGTGAATGGTGTGGATTAGACCATTTTAGTTCCGATTGCTTATTTAAACGATATAACAAGTGTGTTGATTTTTCTTGTGAGTTTTATAGTCAACAATATAATTCTTATCGCAATACATGCCATTTTGATCCAAACACCTCATGGAATAATGAAGATATATTGGAGCCACAATCAGGGTTTCAAGCTCCAGAAGAGGAGACATGTTTGAATAAAAATCTAGAGGTCCAATCAAGTCATTTGCTCAACTTAGTTGCTGAAGAGATACAAGGTGAGTTACCTAGTGCAACAATGAAAAATCAAGAAGAAGAGGTAAACACTTTACTCTTGGAGATTGAAGGACAACTTGGAGAAGTGGAAATTATGCCTGCAGAAGCTAAACAAGAGGATGTCCCTAAGGAGGAAGAGGAAAAAGCTCAAGTGTCATTTGAAGTGTTCAATGGGGAGTCTCCTTTAACCAAATCTGATTTTAATGATTATTTTGTTATTGATATGGTTGATGAGATTTTGCAGAAAAACACTTATGACGATCCATTTGAGAATTACCTTATTCAAGCAAAGAACCCAATCAAAAAATATATAAATTGCTTGAACACATCATCTTCCTTGGAATCAAAGGGGGCACTTCTAGAAGAATTGGGAAGGCACATCTTTTGGCCTAAACCCAAACCACCTCAGAATAGTCATTGGAGAAAATCTTATGGTGAATTCAGCTTAAGGGCAAGAAAGCCAAGATTTAAGAAACCGAGAGGACATGCCCTACGACCTGATCCAAAACCACCTTGGAGTGGTAGAAAGTCTAGCTAATGACTATAAATTAAGCACTTCTTGGGAGGCAACCCAAGCATAAAATTTTCTTTTCTTTTATTTTTCTTTTATAGTTTAGATTTTCTTTTAATTTTTTTCTTTTTCTCTTTATGACCTCGGTTAATGCATAAATTGTTGTTCTTTGATTTTGGCCAAGTCATTGAACAAGTTTGGGGGACAAGATTATGGAAATTCACATGCTAGAAGTCTTCTCTAAATGAAGACAACTCAACTTCAAAACTTTAATTTTAAGTCTTCAAGTGCAAAACTTGGGAAGTTTCTCTTTTCTCTTACTTTTATTTTACATTGAGGACAATGTTTGATTTAAGTTTGGGGGAGAGATACACTTTTAGGCATCCATTAGTTTGCATTCATATTTGTATAACATACATTTTTTTTTAG